GGTGGTGATTTTAAAAAAGATTAGTTTCTCTTTATGTTCAATCTATTCCAGGTCTTTCCAAAATAAGCTTTTACTTTTATTTTGACAGATACATATATAACTTTTCACAATAACATCTCCCTTTTTTATCAATCCTACTCTTCCAAAGAAATTCAAATAGGTTACTTAATTAAATGTACTAAGAAATTGCTCATTAATGGATTTGGCAAAGATTAATTAACAGATGATTTAACTGAGATATAAATAATGATTTTTGTATTTGTATGCAAGTGTTCTTCTTTTCCAAGAATATAGTGATAACTTAATTAAGTTAAAAAAATATCTGCTTACAATGATTCTCCAACAAATTGTTATAGTTATGTGTTTCAAACTAAAATTATAATGTGGAACAAAGATAATTAACACGAAAATGTGAGACAGGTAGAATCTTTTGTATTGAACAATTTTAGTTCGTGACTCATCATGCAGCATCTTATGCTTTCAAAAACAAGTCTTATTGTGCTAGAATTAGAATGCAGGGACTCATTTTCCACCCGAAGTTCTGGCCCGGGTTTTAGTAGCACGGTAAGAATAAAGGGAAACCACTCTAATGTGTTTCAACACAGATAAAGTTGTGGAGTGTTAAAGCTGTGATAATATATTTTGGATTTCACTCATTCAAGAATTTATACAAACCTGCAACTGCTGTCGACGACAGCTTGGACGTTCAGGGCATGGAAACCCTTCCTGCAAACGTATGTGTGTTCATCATTGGAAGGTGCAATGATCGGAATAAGAGTTCCGTCGATGGCGCCGACATCATTTGGGAAGCAAGCCATTGAATGGAATCCCTCTTTCATACTTAGCACATCATCAGGATACCTTATTTTGTGACCCAAATATAATATAATGACATCGATCACTCGCTTTGTGATGCAAGAGACTGATGAGCGGATTACTCCGTGGATGTCGCTAATTTCTGAAAGAAACCCACCGTTTGATTAATATCGGAGAACAACAAGAAGTTGAACCTGGGGGTCAATGGCATGGGAACGCTGGGTGACAGCAAGTAAGTCATCTTTGATTGACTCTAATAATCCAATGATTGCATAGCGTGGCATACGGTAACGTTCAAAGATGCAAGTGTTGTCGTACATTTCTAAATAATTCAATCTTTCCCTGAAAATTCTCTCTCTTTTAATTTCTCTCCTTGCTTCATTTTCAATAACAAATGCTGCGGTAGCCATTTTTAATTGCACTTNCCCCCCGGAGCTGGTGTAAGTTACACATGCTTTGTGAAACGGACCGTAACTTTTACGTACGGTTTACATACAGATTTACACACGGGTGTAATTTACACCCTGTTTGTGAAACGGTACCCAGGGCAGGGCAGGAAGTGGGACTATAGCTTTTCTCATTTAATATGCTAGACTCTCTGTTTTTGGTCAATTTACACATTTCATTAAATGTGATGAAGGTTTCTACGACCAACAAAAGAGGATGATACATTAAATAAGTTACCGCCCCTTTCTGCGCATGCGCAGATTATATTTAATACACCAAAAAAGGCAGTCAAAGGATTATTCTGCAGCAAACTGCATTCAAATCAATTCATAAGATTTATAAATTTATTTCAGTTATTCAGTTTATATCGAATGATTGAGTTACCGCCCCTTTTAGCGCATGCGCAGATGAAATTAAGTTGCAGACCAAAATAAACAGTCAATGGGGGATTATTTTGCAGCAAACTGCATTCCAATCAATTCATGAGTTCTCTTTTTATAAATTTATTTCAGTTATTCAGTTTATATCGAATGATTGAGTGACCGCCCCTTTTAGCGCATGCGCAGATGAAATTAAGTTGCAGACCAAAATAAACAGTCAATGGAGGATTATTTTGCAGCAATGGAGGATTATTTTGCAGCAATGGCCCTGCAGGTAGGGCGTAAGAATTGTACTTGCTGCCCTCAATTGCATGATCGTAAGAGGCGACTAAATTTGGGACCTTATCTCTTCTCTCCTTTCTAAATAACTTTCTTCTTCCTAATGTCTCCCTTGACAATGCCTCACTTTTGGCCATTTGTTGAGCGTTCGCCCCTGTGAGGAAGGCTTTGGGTTCTGTCCCCTGGCCGAGACATACCAAAGTCTTTAACAATGGTAGTTTCTACTCCTGCTTAACGCTCAGCAAATTAGGAGTGGGACGACTGGTTCGCCCGTTGTCAGTATAATGTGACCGGGTGAGGCGTCCTGCTGGGTGTCTTCGGCAGTATGTTTCAGTGAGGTAGCACTATAAAGTCGGCATCAGTTCCGCGCTATCACAAGGAGATAAACACGAACATATCGCAGCCTCCCAAAATACACGCATACACTACACGCATGCATCTTGCACACAGGGGAGGCCGTCCTTAAATGACCTAAGCTGTTAATAGGACGTTAAACAAAATCAAACAAACAAACAAATATTTTGCAGCAAACTGCATTCCAATCGGTTATTAGTTCTCTTTTTATTAATTTATTAAATTTTGCCCTCTTACCTAAATTAGTGAGAGAGTTATCTGATAGTTATCCAGAAATTGAGAGTTATCTCCCTTTGCAATTTGTTGTTGAAAGTTGGCAAGCCGCAGTTTTTCAAATTCGGAAACAATTTGGTCTGAAAGATGATAAGTGCTGCACCGATTGTTCTGAAATTTGGCTGAACTGTATGTAATATAATGATCGAAGAGATGAATCCTGCAGCAAATAACCAAACTTCAAATTGATGTTTTGATTAATTAACGATTTATTGTTGAAATGTGCTCACCACGCGGTCTGGAGGAGATAGCTTAATACAGGAGATTTCCTGTTGTCTTATCAAATTACACTGTATGTATGCTATGATTAAGTGAGAGGATTATTTTGCAGCAAACTGCATTCAAATAGGTTCATTAGTTAGTGATTGCGTAACCGCTCCTTTAAGCGCATTCGCAGATGGGATTAAGTTACAGACAAAAATAAACAGTCAATAGAGGATTATTTTGCAGCAAACTGCATTCAAATCGGTTCATTAGTCCCCTTTTTATTAATTTATTCAATTTTGCCCTCTTATCTAAATTAGTGACAGAATTATCTGATAGTTATCCGGAAATTGAGAGTTATCTCCCTTTTCAATTTGTTGTTGAAAGTTGGCAAGCCGCAGTTTTTCAAATTCGGAAACAATTTGGTTTGAAAGATGAAAGGATTTATCGATGCCATGTGCTGACCACGTGGTCGATTTCCTGTTGTTTTATCAAATTACACTATGTATGCTATGATGAAGTCACAATATTATCTACAAATGCTATTAAAGGGGCATAACGGTGAAGTAACTTTATTTTTTGTCTTTTTTTCAAATACTACATAAACATATCAAGTGAGACTCCTTACGGAAAATAACGATCGGATTTGGCTGAAATAGATTCATAAAAATGATTAAATCTAAGAAAATCATCGGTATTTCTAACTGTCTGACCAACGTTTTGTTCAGGGATTTCCCTCTACTAGCGCATGCGCATAGCACACCATTTCTTTGTAAACAAAAATGACTGGCCGTGTGAAGTAAGCGAAAGAAAAGTGTTGTACCGTGTCAGCTACGAAACGAAAAGTTGCCAAATGGTCAAAAGATAGCACAAGGAGTACGTTACGGAATCATTATTGCAGGTGGGCAGTATTCAAAGGAGAAAATAACTGCCGTAGCAGTTAGTACGGTGCATGCATTCTTCCGAATAGCCGGTTAAGCTGAAATGGAATCGACAGAAATGCTAGCGCTGTTTATGTAATGAATACATATCTAAAACTATTAAGCTCGTTAGTATCTTTGTCTGAGTTTGAACACAGATGAACTTAGTTTAATATGTTAATGTGCATGTATTGGAGAGAGTTTACTTTGTGTTTCTATAATTATACAGTGGTTTATGCGAAAGGAAGGGATAAGTGACTGGTTAGTTTGATTTTTCCATGAGGCCCTCCAAGGGATAACTGTTGTGATGGCCCACGGCGTATTTTCTGGGTCACCGAGATACGTGTTATCGAAGTCCGTGGATTTACATAATTTATAATATTACCGGGTTCAATAAAATGGTATGATTTAATTATATTGCTGAATTAAACGATTATTTTTGTTTTTACATGCAAGATTTAAATTAGTACTAATATGAATACCCGGCCTCCTCTGCCCCGGCAACATATAAAAAAAAATCAGAAAGGTTTGTCCCTTGGTGTAGGGAAGGTGTTTAGCCACGTACCATCTGTACCGGCCACATTCCGGTACTAAATTCAATATATATTTAAATATATCTACTTTATGTTTATGCCTATTATCATTGTTGACATTTAATTGTAAATGTATGACGGGAGAAGGCTGTGATAAATTGTAAAAACTTGTGCCCCATCCCTTGTTTAATTTTATTGGCAACACATTTATGTTTAAAGCTAATAAATTTAAATTCTGAATATTGGCAAGTGTGCAATTAACTTCTAATGATGAATAATTACTGTTCAATAAGTTTGAATACGGACTTAGAAATCATATAACTTGGTTTCATAGTGCGGCAAGAAGTTGCATCGCCTGACGGCCCCTCTCTGGGGGCCTCTTTGGAAATCGTTTCATCTCGCTCGCACCACTTGTGTTTACTGCCTAGTCAGGTGACGTTATTGGTGCTATTTTTAGCAGGGCTTTCCCGAACAATTCAAGTGGTCAAACTGGACATTTGGAACGGACTATGAATATGGGGATAGCGTGGTAACATAAGTGGAAGTGCATACAATACATACATTCATTAAAAAAAAAACGCCTTTTCACGTGATGTCCCTTTAACAAAGATATATGTACAGAATTACAGGTATAAAGTCTGATAATAGGTAAAATAACAATAACCTGCTTAGTTGCTTTTGCCTTGGATTTTACACGATTAAGTTATTATCTACAAAATTATATGGGTTTTTTTTATCAAATATGTACGAAATTGAGAGTACGAAGATATGTGCAAGAAGGCATAACAAAGAGGATGGCTGAATGGGCGAGGAAGAAAGGGGAGAAAGAGATAAAGGCGATAAAGAGGGTTACAGAGGATGTAAGCTTTGTGCCTTCTAGGATATTTACCGTATTTGTGCTCATCAATAAGGTTCACCCAATTCCAATAATATAATGACTATTTGGATTTCAGATTTTAAACAAGGTAGTTGTAGAGCGGGCAAAGGAATTGGTAGTTGAAGAGAAAGGCGTAAGTAAAACTTACTTAAGTATGACTAAACCAGATGCAGAATTCTTGACATGACACATGAGGAAGGCGAAGTTTGGGTAGGATAGTGATAGCGTCTGATGCCATCCACCTAGTACTAAACATTAGTTCTTAAATGTTGATCACCTAGTTTCATGTTTATAGAATTTTTGGCAAGTATGGTTCTATATAAGTTCTTTTAACAGAAATTGAGCAAGAGGCAGAGGAGGAAAGAGAGGGAGAGCAAGAAAAAGGAGGAGGAAGAGCAAAAGGAGAAAGAGGAGGAAGAGCGAAAGGAGGAAGAGGAGAGAAACAGAGTAAGGAAAGTGGAGAAAGAAAAGCGGAGGAGGAGAGAAGAGGAGGCGGTAAAAAGAGGATTTTGAGAAAGGAGAAGAAGGTAAGCATTGATGTCATCTGGTAAGTTTCCACAGGTCAACAAAAATGTACAATCTGTTTTCTTTCGAAAATGATACAGAACAACAAATTTATATCGAGTTGAGCATCAACTAATTTCGGTCCTTAAAATTGGATCACAGATTATCGACCTGTCAAGTCGATATATTGTGATCCAAATTTTAAGACCGAAAATAACTTTTATAAGAAAAACCTATAGAATGCGTAATTTTTACAGTATCATCACAAAAGGGAACAGGCCGTACATTCGCATCCTATTCAACAATATCATACCTAAGTGAGACGATATAAATCACTGACCTACGCGTCAATGATATTCATAATTTTGTAATGGAATGAAGGGTTTCCTATGTTAACATGTTCAATATGCTATTTTATGCATTGTGGCAAAAGATCTTAAAAAGGTAATAAAGAACATGAAATTCATATCGAGTTGAGCATCAACTTATTTCGGTCCTTAAAATCGGCTCACAGATTATCGATCTGTCAAGTCGATATATTGTGATCCAAATTTTAAGACCGAAAATAACTTATATAAGAACAACCTACAGAATGCGTAATTTTCATAGTGCCATCACAAAAGTGAACATGGAGTCTATTTGCATAATGTTCATCAATATTATACCAAAGACAAAAGTTCGATATCATATATCGAGGAAATCATTAATTCAATATATTATCTGTTACTCAGGCGAGACGAGCGGCAGATCGCGCAATGAAAAATGAGGAGATGGAGGTGAGTATTGAACAGGATATTAATCTTCAATAAAGCTATGGGAGTATCTGGTAAAGCTGACTCGAGCAGATTCAAATACCTCCTTTAAAACCACTGTCCTTAGGTATGACAACGGTAAATTTTGGTCACATCAGGAGGAGAGGGAGGAAGAATTCGAAGTGGAACAGCAGGAGGACGATCGGGAGAAAGACGTAGAAGGTAAGTAAGCCTGTTCTTTTGATACGGTAAACT